GGCCAAAGACATCTCTTCCCCCACCCCCCCCACCCCACCCGGCGAGGGACCCGACGGACCCCTTTCTCCGCACCGATGTGTCTTTCTCATCCCTGCACCTCCTAATGCCCCCCAGCCCTGCAATCGCCGAGTGATTCCACGCGGGGCTGCAGTGGGCACCCAGTTATCTCCAAACTTAACCCACCGGGGCGCCTCGGCGGTCACTTCTCCAGGGAGCTGCTGATGGGGGCGGTGGAGAGGGGCTTGGTGGTGGTGCTGGTGAATATTTAAAAAAAATAATAATCATAATAAAAAGAGACCCTTTGGCCTCCTGCGAGAGACCCAATCCCCCCTCTTCGCCCCCCACCCCGCCCCCCACCCCCATCCCCGTCTGGATTTCTTGGCGATCCTGGCGTGCGGGGTGGGCCGCCACCTCGTCGAGCGCCGAGCCCCCCTCCCCCTCCCGCAGGAAGAAAATCGATCTCGGCTCTGTTTGTGTCTGATGTTCCCCACCCCACCCCCCCTCCTGCTCCTCCTCCCCCCCCCCCAACCCCGAGAGTGCCGGGTTTGTTTATTTCTTTATTTATTCCCGTGGCCGAGGCGTCTGGGCCTCGAGGCCGCGCAGAGCCCGGTCTGAGGGGGCAAGGACGCAGCAAAATTCACCTCCTGCACTGGCCCCCCGAGGTCGGGCGGGACAGCGCGCGGACCGGCTGCGTGACTGCTGACGTTTCTGAGTCCTATAGGTGCAGCGGCTGGTGAGATAGTCCGTATCGCCCCGGTTGCCTCTTTATTTTATTGGGGTATGCTTGGTAATAAACATTAATATTTAATTTGTGGGAGCCGGCAACCCAAGTTGGTGCCGGGAGGTGCAGCTTGGCAGACGCTGGAAAGAAGGCTTGATCTTGAAAGGGGGGGGGAGGTGTCTTTTTTTTTTTTTTTGGTGGGGGGAAAATCTCTTCTAAAACTCTTCGCCAGACCGCCTCTGCCCAAGCAAGACCACCATCCTGGGCTGTTGCCGTGGAAAGAAGTGGGAGTTTTTGGAGGTGAGTGCGGCCCCAGTAGGGCTAATCTGGAGAGAGGGCTGTACATTTCGGGGCTCCCTGATTTTCTCAGGGATTCTCCCCATCCTGGCTTGCCCTGCTGAGTTCCTGCTGCCCTCTTGCCAGTTTTCAGTTTAAGAGAGATGCCCTCGCTGGCCTTTGGAGAATCACCTGGCCGGAATGGGGTCATTCCCCGGCAAAATTTCAAAACCCTGCTTTTGCTCCGTGATGCGCTCCCTACCCAGCTCTCCACCAACCAAGCGAAGCTGATGGGGCAGTTGAGGTTGGATGGGGGGTGTGTGTGTGGCGGGGAGCTGTTCGTCATCCGGATTCTCCCTCTCGAAAGGGGCCTTTGGGTTATTGACGGGAAGTTGTAGTATGCGCAAATCTCCCCGCATTTAAAGGGATTGGAGAGGAATCTCCCACTGCCTTGGGCGAGCAACATGGGAGATTCCAGCTCACCCCGAAGCCACGCAGGTTTCCCCTCCTTGCCCCCACCCCCCGGGGTGCGTTCGCCCCTTCTGAGCAAGCCCAAAGTCCTCCGAGTTGACATTTTAGAAGGGTGAGGGTGTTTTTGAAAATAAACAAACCGCTGTGTGTGTGCGCACGAGTGTGTTTGCAAACAAACCGAGCCGGTACTAGAGTGGGGACTCAGGCAAAGGTTCCCTGGGCTTCCTCCCCCGGTGGTCTGCTCTGCTCCACTCTGCAGGGGACTGTCGGCTTGGAAACTTTGCAATCGGAGCAGGCCTGGCCGGGAGTTTGGGTCCCAGAGGCCACGGAGGGGTGATGCATTGGCCCATCTTTGGCCCACATTGGTCGCATCCTCTGCATTCCCTGGCGTGTATCTGCAGGCCCAAATCTCCACGGGTAACCCCCCAGCAAAGAACTGAGTGATGGGGTACGGAGGTGGGGGCACCCGACTGGGAGTGGGCCCCCGACTGCGTTCCAGGCGCCGGGGACTTGGGGCTTCACTCGACGTGGCCTTGGGCTCAGACCTAGCCACTATTTCCGTTCTCATTGACCTCTTCAGCTGAACTCTCAAAATCTTACCGTTTGGAGAGGTGGGAAAGCAGAGAGAGGAGCCTGGTAGAGATGGAAACCCCAGACAGCCTCTTCCCCCCACCCCCCATGCGCGACGGTTTGATTATTTTAATAAAACTCGGCACTCCGTTGCTTCGCCCCCAGCCAGGGAGGTCCGGTGGCCCTGGGCCCAGTGCTGGGGGCCAAGGGCTATTTCTTGGCATCTTTGATCTGGGAGGGGGCGTCCCGTGCACCTTCACCCCAGAGTCGCTAAGAGTCGGGGTGATGAGTGGGGAGGAGGAGGGACGGCAGGGTGACGGGTGGTGCGGGCTGGGCCAGGCGAGGTCAGGCGGCGCCGGGCTGGAGGTCAGCGCTGGGGAGAGCGGCGGGCGGGCGGGCGCGTGCACGCGAGCGAGCCCTCGAGCCCTGGCCGCTGCCGCTGTCCTCCGCGGAGCCCGCCACTCGCTCGGGGCTCCCGGCCGGCCGGCAGACGCAGAGCCGGGTTGGGGATGATTTGTGCTGGATTTCTTGCCGCCACCCAGCCGCCGCCGCCGCTCCTGGAAGCAGCAGAGATGGATGGAGGTGGGAAAGGGGGTGGAGAGGCGGGGGCGAGCCTCGCTCCCTCTCCCGCCGCCGCCGCCGGAGAGCTGGGGTTGAGAGTTGTGATTTGAGTGCTCGGGAAATCGAATGGAAAAGGTGGTTGGGGGAGGGAGGGGGAGAGAGAGAGAGAGAGAGAGAGAGAGAGAGAGAGAGGACAGGGAGGCAGGGAGGGAGGAGGGAGCAAGTTGGAGAGGCAATTTCTGTACTTTGTAAGCATCTCGGCAGCCCTGCGTCAGAGAGAGAGAGAGAGAGAGAGAGAGAGAGAGAGAGAGAGAGAGAGAGAGAGAGAGAGAGAGACTTATCTCCGATCCTGGAGCTTCAGCCCCGAAGCGAGGCAGTCGGAGGGACTTCTCCCACCCCACCATCCCCTCGGCTGTTTCCACCCGGTTCCCCGGTTCCCCTGGGGGTGCCCGCGAGGCGCCGGGAGGGAGCCGAGATTTGCTCGCGGGGGTCGGCCGGCCGGCTGCCGATTCGCGTGCTCTGGAGCCCGACCATTGGGAAGTGGAAGCCTTCAGGCTCCCGGAGCGGAGAAGGACGCGAGCGAGCGTTGGCGCCGGCTGCGCGCGCGAGGGTCGCTCGGAGGAGGCTGCGGCGCCGTAGGCAGAAGCAGGCTGCGAGTCCCGGGCAGCAGAGCCGGGCATAAGCCCCGGAGCCAGCATGCCGGCGCCCCCGCCGCGCCGCAGGCTCCCCTGCTAGGAGCCAGGAGGGACGTGGTGGTGAATGCGTCCGCGCCACCCAGCGAGGTAACGGTCCCCGCAGAGGGCCCGGGGCGGCGCGGCGGGGAGCGCGGCCGAGCCGGCCCGGGGAGGCGCGCGCGCGCGCTTTGCAGCCCGGCCTGGGACTCGGCCGCGCCCGCGCGCCTGCACCGGGCCCGGCGGCTCGGGCGGCGGCTGAAGTTTGCAGGACGCGCGGCCTGGTTCTGTCAAACCGCATTCTGGTTTGGGTGCCGCCAGCCGCCCCGCTCCGAGGGACCCCGGCGGGGTGGCCGGGCGCGCTCGTCCCTGCGGCGGCGGGTTGGCGGATGGGCGTGCACGTGGGGGACGCCAGCCCCGCTTTCTTTTGTTCGGAGCAGACTTTGGGGGGCTCCCTAAACCCCCAGGGCGTGGTTAAGGGGGAGTAGCTTCAGAGTCCCCCGGTGGCTTTTGTTGTCCGGGTCGCTGCAGACCCGCACTCATGGGCCTTTTGCCTAAGCGACTGCTGAGATTCAGGGGCTGGGGGCTTCTTCAGTGGCCCCCTCCCTACCCGGCCTCCCTGGGATTTGAAGGACATCTCTGCTCGGGAAGGCTGGAGCTACTAGAAGGAGATCAGAGCCGGAGCTGGCGCTGACGGGGTCCCAAAGCTTCTGCAGAAGTTCTTTGGCCTGTTTCAACCTCCAGGCAGCGCGGCCGCGGGCCTTTCTGCACCGCAACACGGGACTGAGGCCGCCGGCTTGGGGCCGGAGCCCTGGGTCAGTCTCAAACTCACGCCAGTGTCGGAGCTGGGCCTGCAGTTCCTGGGGAAGCCAGGGCCCGCGGGCGTCGGCTCTGGGACGCTCCCCTGGGCCTGCCCGAGCACCCCAGGCGGTGCAGAGGAGACCCAGCATGAGGGGTGAGGGCGGGTGTCCCCCTGGGCCCGGCTTTGCAGCTCTCTCCAGCCCGCTGCTGAGCCGCTGCTTATTTTGAAAGTTGCAGGGGCTTGCGGGGGTGCGTGCGTGGCCAAGAGGAGGCCTGTGAGCTTCGGAGGACTTTTCCCGGCCAAGGGCTGGAACTGATAAAAGAGAAACGTGACTTCCCCGCGGCAGCCTCCATCTGCCGGTCCTGGCGGGCGTTTGCAGGAGGCGGGATCTGCAGGCGCAGGAATAGACGCTCTCAGACCCCCCGCTTTCCCCTGCAGGAGCTCCCCTCGCCTCTTGGAACTCGGAGGGGAAAAAAAAATTCTCAAAAAGGACTCTAGTGTTTTTTTTTTTTCCTTTCCCCTATGCTGGTTGTTGTTTGTTTTGTTTTGTTTTGGGGTTGTACCCAGTGGCTTCCAAAAATACCCCCAACCTTATCTTTATTGGCTCTTCCAGACAAATTTGACGGGCAGCTCGCTTATCGCGGGGGCCTGCGCAGGGGAGGGACGGGCTTCGCCTCCCCGGGGCTGAAGCGGCCTTTCACAGGAGGTGGCGTGTGGTCACCGCAGAACAGTAACGCTGACCGTCCCGGGGGCTTTCGGAGGCCGGCCGCGGGCCCGGGGTCGGAGGGTTCGGGAGCTGCCGATGTGGGGGTCCGAGCGCCTCCTCTAGTCCACTGAACTGAGCTTGGATCTTGCCTTCGCATCTCCCACCATCCCTCCTTCATCCTCAGAGCAGGACCCCCGTCCCGCACCGGGTGCCAGGCGGCCATGGCTGACGCAGAGGAGGGTTTTGGTTTGGCACACACACCCCTGGACCCCGACTCCAAGGATCTGTCATGTGACTCGAAGCCGGAGGGCGCGCTGGGGGCCCCCAGCAAGTCCCCCTCCTCCCCTCAGGCCGCCTTCACCCAGCAGGTAAGAGGGGCTCTGGGAATGCAGAGCGCGTCTGGTGGGGTGCAAGGGGTGCCCTTGGCCCCCAACTTGGTTCCTTTTATGCCCACTCACCCCACCTTCCCACTGCCCCCAGTCTGCCTCTCTCCCTCTCTCAGTTAGTTAGGGAAGCCTTAATGACCATGGGGGCCAGCTAAGATGGGTCCAGATCATTCCATAGCATGCACCCGGCCCTGGGAGCCTCATTAAGAGCTGGGTCAGCGGCCGCTTCTAGTCAGCATGAACGATGGCTTGACCCCTCTTCAGATCTTTCTCAGCCTTCGTCTCCTCCCCCTCCTCTGCACTCTCCGGGGCATGGGCCAGGGCAGTGGCCGGCGGGCAGCGGGCAGGACTGTTGCCCCATGAGTCCCAGAGCAGAGCAGAGCCTCGAGCTCGCCTGGCTGGAGGCAGGGCCGGAGCAGAGACGAGCGGGGCCTTCCCGGCTAGGGGCAGCCCTGTGAGGGCCCCGGAGGCTTTCCAGCTGATGAGAAGATCAGGAAGGATGCGTCGGGGCCTTAGCTCAATCTCTTCTCGGGGCAGGAAGATTTCTACTCGCCTCCTGGCTTTTTATTTCGTCTCCTTCCAACCGTGCCCCTCGGTCCGAGGAAAAATGTGTGTTTGACCCCAGAGAAACAGAGAGCTGTGTGTACACGGTTTTGGAAAGTTTACTTTTTTTAAAAATAGATAGGCAAATGATTACACAGTTACAAATATGACAATGTGAAGATTTTGCATATAATTTTTTTTGGGGGGGACCCTGGGTTTTGTCAAATGACTTCTACTCAGGAGCAGAAAGGTTCAGCTGCTTCGTTCGGCAGCCCCAGATTCAAGGAAGAGGGAGGGAAGGAGGGGCGAGGTGAGCAGGGAAGTTTCCCCATAGAATCTCTTTTAATTCCGAGAGGACTGAGGCGAATCCATTTTTATTTTGAACAGTATACGGTGTCAACCTTCTGCAGTAGGAAAGTCCCCATGGCCTGCATTGCAGGAGAGAGGGGGGGAGTGTTCATTCGTGAGTGTTTCTGGGTGGCACATAAAAAATATCCAGTGATTATTTCTTGTTTCAAGATCGAAAGTTCCCCTGCACCCCCTTTAGCTGCATCTTGGTGAAAATAGGTTAAAATTGGTCTCCTTCGCCCCCAGGCCTCCAGCTCCAGGCTGGGGTGCTGCTTGCTCAGTCAGACTCTCCAACCTGTCTCAGCAGCTTGCAGGGCTGACCCAGGCCAGCTAGCCGGAGTCTGCAGAGGCAGCCGTGGGCAGGGCCGGCGGCTGGCGCCCTGAGCCCGGCCCCGGCTGGTGGAGGGCATTCAGCCTCCAGGCTCCAGGGAACGGAGCGGTCTCCGCTTGGCTGGGGAGGCTGGGGAGGCCAGGCCCGCGGCTGGCCGGCCAGCACCAGTCGTGTGACCTTTGTCTCTGTCCTCCAGGGTATGGAGGGGATCAAGGTGTTTCTCCACGAGCGAGAGCTATGGCTGAAGTTCCACGAAGTGGGGACGGAGATGATCATCACCAAGGCCGGCAGGTGAGGCGGCCGCGTCCAGGCCGGGGCGGGGAACCCAGGGAGAGGGTGGGAGAGACAAAGAAGAGAAGTGGGGCTGGGAGAGAAGAAAGAGGGGGCCAGGAAGGGGCAGAGGCAGGAGGGCAAGGCGGCTGGTGGAAGTGGGCGATGTTTTCTTCTTCGACTTGGTTCTGGGAGAAAAGGAATGAAGAGCGCCCTCCAGCTCCATTGGAGTCGGGGGACGCAGAAATAAAGGGGTGGGGGTTGCTTCCAACCGGGCATTTCCGTCCCCACCATCTGAGAGCTCGAGAGACGGGGCCAAGGGAGAGAAGGAGGGACGGGGAGGAGAGAACTCGGTGGAGAGAGGTGCGGGGTGGGAGTTTGGGCTTTGGGTTCTGTGGGGGGGGGGGGGGGTGTTGCGGACCCGATCGCCCCCTCGCCGCCTCCCCGATCTTGGATGGGTTCCAGGGTTCCACCCCACAGGCCGAGCTCCGAATCCCTGAATGTATTCGCTACCTCTTTCATTGTTTATAAAGAGCAGCCAAAGCCTTTGAAACTGTAGCGGGGCTCGGCCAGGCTCTATATACAGACACCGATAAACATGGCAGTTTCGCCAAGACACTCACCCCGAAGTTCCTCTTAAGAGCTCGCGGATTTGGAGCTAGAAACGCTCGGCTTTGGGGGAGGGGTGGGCGCGCGGGGCTGGTGGCAGGGGCCCTGGGGGACACCTTCCCACACCCCTTGGCTGAGGCTGACCAGCGGCAACCACTGTCTGGGACGGCAGGGGAGCCCCAGGGTGCCCTGGCGTGGGCTGGGAGGCGGGAGGACCCCCCTCTAGACCTAAGGCGCTGGGTGTGTGAAGGGGGGAGGGTGGAGCCCCCTCACCAGACGCCCCCCGAATCTCCGGCCCGAGCCTCCCACAATAAACTGACAACTGTGACATTTATTATTATTTGAAATTAAACAATGTCTGCTCCCCCGCTCGGCCCGGCTGAACCGGGAGGCGTGTTCTGTTTATAACCAGGGAACCAAGGTCTTCCCAGGAAAGCCACAGCAGCGTGGGGCCACGATCTCCCCCAGGCCCGAGCCCCGAGGATTTAGCTATAAAAGGCCTGTGGCGCCCGCCCGCTCGGGCTGATAAACACCCGCGGCCGCCACTGGGCTCCGGCGGAAGGCAGCGGCCTGGGCTCAGCGTTTCCCGCCTCACCAGAGCCAGCGGGGATCCAGGCCTCGGGGTCACCCGCTTCTGGGGTGCCCTCTCCCGGCTGCTCGGTCAGGAGGTCCCCTGATCTCCTCCTACTTCTCTTGGTGGGTCCAGGCATTTTAAAATCAAGAGCGCACGGGTTTGAATTTCTTGAGGGTCCAGGAGTTTGGGACGGGAGTTTTGGAGAGATTTGTAGGGTGTGGGGTGGAGGGACAGTCCCGTCCTGGGGGTGCCGAACATGTGAATGACTTGGTAGAAAAAGGAACTTTTTTTCCTTTTTTTTTTCTAACAAACCCCTTTCTGCCTCCCCAGTGGGAAAGACTGGGGTCTGGCTGTCGAAAGAGTCCGTGGGCTGAGTTGAAATGTGGGGATCTTTAGTCCTGTAGAAGTTCTGGTTCCGTCCAGGACATCCCTCCCCCAACCCCTTCATCTCCCAGAAAGTTGCAGGAAACCAGGACTGGGTCTCCGGGTCTTGGGCAAGTGCACAGCGGGGTTTTTTTGGGGGGGGCTCCATTGTTGGAGGTGTCTCCCCAGAGGTGTAACAATAGCATCTCATGCCTCCCTGCACCCCTGTTTCCCTAGGCGGATGTTCCCCAGTTACAAAGTCAAGGTGACGGGCCTGAATCCCAAAACAAAGTACATCCTCCTCATGGACATAGTTCCCGCCGACGACCACAGATACAAGTTTGCGGATAATAAATGGTAGGGCTCCTCGTGGGGTGTGGGAGGGCAGGCAGGGGTGGGGGGTGCCGCCAGCTCCCCTAAAACCTGCCTTTGTGTGTGTATGTACTCCCATCTCCAGCTCCAGGGCCTTTATGCCCGTTCCCTGCCCCCGCCCCACTGTCCATTGGATGGATCAGTAAACTGAGGCACAGAGTCCCCCCTTCCTCCCTGTGCATCTAAAAAAAAAAGATGCTTATTGTTTAAGGGTTTAAAAGAAGGCTGTGCGTTTTCAAAGAAGGATATTGTTACCCGGTGCTGCCAGTATTTCTGGGGGCTTAAAAACTATTTACAGGTATTTTTTATGAGTTGCCCGCGCTGGGCATGGCTTTTTATGAAATTGCAAAGCCCACTTGTGGTATTTGCGTGCTGCAGACAGGCGAGGCCGTTCCTGGGCTCGGCCGCTCCCTTGTTGGCCAGTTTGCAGCCTTGATGAGGAAATCCCACCCTCAAGGGGGTTTCCAGGACTTAAAAAAATTCTTTTTTGCACCTTCAGAACCCTCAGATGTTTGTGGGTAGCCAGGCCCAGAGACCCCTGGGGGCTCCCTGTTGCTGAGGAGGAGGAGAGGAGAAGGAGGAGGAAGAAAGAACTGGGTGGGGGCGGGAGGGGCTGGGGTTGGCAGAGAGCCCCAGAGAGACCCTGTGGGTCGGGCTGCCTCTCTCTGGGCTGCAGCCCTCGGTGTCCAGCAGAACAGAGTGGGGGTGCCCACCACGCACTGACTCGGGGTGCCTCTGGCCCAGGTCGGTGACGGGCAAAGCGGAGCCGGCCATGCCCGGCCGCCTCTACGTGCACCCCGACTCGCCGGCCACCGGGGCCCACTGGATGCGGCAACTCGTGTCCTTCCAGAAGCTCAAACTCACCAACAACCACCTGGACCCGTTCGGGCACGTAAGTGACGCGCAGGGCCGGCAGCGGCGGCTCCCACCGGGCTCTGTCCTCCCCTCCGAATCCCACACTCCTTGCCTTTTCCTTCTTCGCTCCACTCCTCCCCTGTCTTTCCCGCCCTTTCTTCCTTGATCTGCATCCTGCCCCTTTTCTTCTCTTCCTCTCGGGGCGGCTTTCCGTTCCCCAGATCCACTCTCCTTCAGATCCCGCAGAACGCCCGTTTCTCTTACTCCCTCCCTAACCCTGCGTTGCTTCCTCTGGGTCTCCCCCTCTCCCTCTGAGCCCCCTCTCCCCGTGCTGGGGGCCTGCTTTCTCCCGGAGGCGATTCTCCTGCCCAGCACCCCCCTTTGCCATCTCGCTGTGCCCCCAAATCTGCTTCTGCAGGTGTTTCGGGTGCGGGCTGCATGGTGGGTCTGAGTGCAGCCCGCGCGGGGATTAGGGACCAGGAAGTCCATCTAGCCTCGATGAGGGGTGGGGCGCCGTCCTGCTATCCTTAGCTCAGCCTGCAGCCTGGCGACAAATCGGGGTGCTTGTCTGAGAGGCAGAGCTCCGCTTCTCCGCTTCTCCGGCCCCTCTTCTGCCAGCGGGGACGCCAGCCCGCAGAGAGGGGACTCACTCCCTCTCCCTTCTCTGGCCGTTCTACTGGTCTTATCCCCCCACTCCCAGCTCCCCTAAACACTTGCTCCCCGCAGAGAAAGAGAGGCTGGGGTCAGATCCCCAGTCTGGCCCCAGGAGAGGGGCAGGGAGTTGGGGGTGATGCGGCCAAACCTGTCGGCAGAGCCCTTCCCGTATGCCCATGAAGCGGGGCCTCTGGAGGTTCTGCTAGGGTACCCCCTGCCCCCCAAAGACAAATGAAGAACTAAACTGATTTGGGGAGAAATGTCCCTAAACCTGCATTGGCAAATCACCAGACTCCAGTTTCGAGTAATTCTGCCAAGTGGGTGCCCTGCATTCTGGTTTTCTCAGGACTCGTGTGTGTGTGTGTGTGTGTGTGTGTGTGTGCGCGCGTGTGTGTGTGTGTGTGATGAATAGGGTACAGGCCAGGGTGGCAGTGCCCAGGGCCACACCCTTTGTATTGGGGTACCATGTGGTTTATGGCCGGGCCAAAGTGGCCCTTTGGATCAGCTCTGATGTCTCTTTGCTGAGACTCTTGGGTCTTGGTGTGCCCCTCCCCCAACCCCATCTGGAAGTGAGGGGCGAGGGGAGGCAGCGGACCTAAGCGGGACAGCTGGGGTGGTCCTTGGAGGGGCCTGAAGCTGGGAGTCTGCGGTGGGGAATGCAGCCCCCAAGCAGCCCCTGCGTGTGCAATGGCCCCAGGCCCCCTCAGTCTGCGGGGCCTTTCTTGTGCCCCTTAAGACCCCAAGCTTGGCAGCCCCGTGGGAACCTGAAGGACAAACATCGGGAGAGACCTGAGCTTCGGCGTCTCCGGGCCAGAGGCTGCCGCCCCGTCATCCCTGAGGACAAAGCGTCCGTGCGGAGCCCCTCCTGTCCTCCCAACCCCCAGTAGGAGAGGCAGTGGACCCCTGAGCTCCACCGGGCTCCCCCGCTGCCCACATCCCCAGCCCAGACCCCCGCACCGGCCGTCCAGAGGGGCCCTAATCAAATTAGGGGCCATTAGATCACCCTCGTGCCGAGGCCTGCGCTGGCCCCAGCCGTCAGAGCAATTTGGCTAAGCCGGGACGATGGCCGGGATGGCCAGGGCACGTTGGCCGCCCGCTCGGGGCCCCGCTGCGTCTCTCTGTCGCCACACTGGCCCGACCGGCGTCTCTGTCCCCCGGGCCCTGAGATTAGAGCCGCTGGGCTCCCTGCTGGGCTGGTCAGGGCCGTGGGGTGGGGGCTGCGGCCAGACCTCCCGCCCCACCCCCAGGAGGAGGGACGCTGTTGGGTTTGGGTGACCCAAGACCCTCATTCCACCACCATCAGTCCCCGCACCAATCGAAGCCTCAAAGAGGAAAGCCCCCGCCCCCGCCGTTCTGGGGTCCAGTTTGGGAAGAAGTTGGGGGGGGGCAAGCCAGACTTTCAGCCCCTTCAGCGCGCTGAGTGTCCACCTGGTCCACGGGTCTATAAATGTCGGCGTTTGTAGCCCGGCTGTGTGGAAATGGGATCCCCGAGAACAGCAAAGTTCCCTGTGTCCCCAGCGCCTGCAGACCCCCTCATCACGGCACCGGCTGGACCCCGAGTGCGCCAGAGCAGATGCTCTGGGCGGCCTGGACGGCAGTAAGGGTGGAGAAGGTAGCAAGGAGGGAGAAAAGCTGTTTTGCTGGCACCTCTGGGGCAGGGATGCCCGGGAAGGGCTGTCTGGGACCTGAGATGTGTCTCCAGCCCAAGGAGGGTGGCCTTCTCCGAAGTGGGGAAGTGGGGACCGAGCGGGTCCCACCAGCCGAGCTCCAGCTTCTTTAGCTGGACTTTGCCCCTTCACGGAACAAAGGGCCCAGCAGGGGGGTTCTTGCGACTCCACAAACTTCCTTCTCTTCCTTTGCATCCTTTAGAAGTTTTTGTGTTTCTCGTCTGGCTGTGGGGGTGGGGTATTATGTCTGCTGGTTTCTTCTCTCCCTTCCTGAGGGTCCCGGGCCGGCCGGCCACTCCAGATTTTGAGCGTCCAGCAGGGGGTGGGAAGTGCCCAGCGGAGGGAGCTAATTTATTAAGCAAACTTTATTAAGAATTCTGATTTACTGCCCTGTATGCTTTGGGCAGATTCCTGGAATATTAGCCTAACTTGTTCAGTTGGAAATTGTCATTTTTGAAATGTTTCTTTTTAATGAAATCTCTGGCCCCTTTTCAAAACAGGAGAAAAATAAAATCGATGTCCCCCTCCCCCCCGCCCCCCCGCCCCTCTGAGTTTATGGATAGAGTCCGATTTTTGAGGGGGAGGGAGATTTGGGGTTGATCTGGAAAGAAAAGGGTTTTGATTATGTTTTCCCAATTCCATCTTCTTTATTATTTTTAGATTATCCTAAATTCCATGCACAAATACCAGCCCAGATTGCATATTGTGAAAGCGGACGAAAATAATGGATTTGGCTCCAAAAACACGGCCTTCTGCACTCACGTCTTCCCGGAGACTGCGTTCATCGCCGTGACTTCCTACCAAAACCACAAGGTAAGTGCCGAGCGGAGGGGACCCCTGGCGAGGTTGCCTGCCCGCTCACCGCTGGCATCTGCTACTCCAGCCTGGCACCTGAAGTTCCGTTCCTGGTCAGGGAGGTGGTGCCAAGGGCTGGCGTGCCTGCTCCAAACACCCAAACGGGGGGTGGGGGGGTTAATCCTTGACACTGCATGGTCCCTGAGCACTGCCCGACCAACCCAGGCACCGCGGGGTGTGGCTCAAACACCGGCAGACAAACAAGGATGCTTTCTTCGCCCAGTGGGCACCAGCCGCCCCCACACCCCCATCTTTAGCTGGGCAGAAGCTGCTGCCTTATAATTACAGTATTTTGTAGTGCATTCCCCGGCTTGGGACGACGCACAAACATGCACCTTCCTGCACAAACACACGCACCCGTGCACACATGCGCACAGACGTGCACACGCAAATGTATACACACAGACACATGTGAATATCTGTGTACACGTGTACATGCATGTATACACACATGTCCACACACATGTACATCACATACATGCAAGCATGTACACATGTATACATATATGCATGCACACACAAAACTACACGCACAAAGAAACACATGCATATACCTGTGTACATGTGTACATAGATGTATACACACATGTCCACACACACGCATACCACACACATGCAAGCACATACACATGCATACACATGCACACACTCGTGCACACACACAAATATACACACATGTCCACACACATGCACACCACACACATGCAAGCACATATACACACATGCACGCACACATGTGCACAGACTAGCATACATGCTGATCAGAAACGAACGTGCCAAGTTCCGCACACTCATACACAAGCAAGCGAAGACCTGGTCCTGCCAGGCTCTGGGGCTGTGGTGTGGGGGCGCTGGTAGCCCCCGTTGTTTCTGTGGTGGCAGTTTCCTCTCCTGCTGTGCCTCCCAGAGCAGGTCACAGATCTCAGGGTCTGCTGCTCCTGCAGGGCCCAGCTGGGCTGTTGTGTGCTCACACACAGCATCGTGGGGTGCCTCGCTGGCAGCAGCCTAGATGCCCGGACTCTGACCCCTCGGCCCCAGCATGGGGAGGGGACACCGGGTAGTTTAGGAGCTGGTGGTGCCGTGGGGGGTCGTGCAGGGAGTTCCTGCCGGTGGGCAGTGTCTCAGAGGGCAGTTGCCCGACACACAGGCCCTGGCTGGAGTCTTAGGTGGGCAGTGTCTCAGAGGGCAGTTGCCCGACACACAGGCCCTGGCTGGAGTCTCACAGCTTGACAGTGCCGGGGAAGCAGGCGCCCAGGACCGCAGCTCAGGGAGCACGTTCTGCCTTTGCTTAGGAGAGAAGCTTCACTTGCCTCATCAGGCGTCACCTGGGTGTGTTAGAATTGCTTGATGGGGGGGGGGGCTTCAAGGTGGGGGGCGGGAAGACCCCTCGTCCTGGTTAGGAAGCTCTGGAATCAGGCGATGCTGGACTTTGGGGGGGGGGGTGGGGGGAGCTGTGCTACCGTGGGAGGGAGATCTGGGGGGTGAAGTGGCCACGTGGGACGCCGGGCTGGTCCCCAGCACTGCACGGTCCCCGAGTGTGGCCAGGACCAACGCCCCAGCACCGCCTTTAGTGTCCCCCCCAAACAAAAGATTTGGGGGAGATGGCCATGGGGAGGGGATGGTGGGGGTACTGTAGGGGTGATAAGAAGGGAGGGACTGACCCTCCCCTGCTCTCCTTTGTCTCCCCCCCCCCCCCACCAGGTGAGGGCGGGATTGGCTGAGGGGCCACACAGAGGCAGACAGGCTGGGCATGGGGGGTGCCATGTGTATGCATGTGTATTCATGTGTATGTGCTTGCATGTGTGTGGTATGCGTGTGTGTGGACATGTGTGTATACATCTATGTACACAGGTATATGCATGTGTTTCTTTGTGCGTGTAGTTTTGTGTGTGCATGAGTGTGTGCAGTAACAGGCTCTGCTGTTGGGGACGTCTCTTCTCAGCCACAGGCCCTGCTTGTTTTTTTTAAATTTAATTTAATTTATTTTTTATTGAGTCACCGTGAGCTACAATTACAAGCTTTCATGTTTGAGTTTCAGCCATACAATGATCTAACACCCACCCCTCCACCAGTGCACGTTCCCCACCACCAATGTCCCCAGTAACCCCCCACCCCCCTTTCCAACCCTCCATGCCTCCATGGCGGACAGTTTCCCCCATCCTCTGCTTTGGGGCATTATGGTTTGCAGTACAGATACTGAAAGGCCATCCCGTTCAGCACACGTGTCCCATCCCGAGCGATCCCTCCAGCCATCATTGACTCAGTGACCCCTTCTCCATCCCAGCTGCTTCTCCCCCAGCTCACGAGGCAGGCTGCCTACGATGGGGAAAGCCAGTTCTTGAGAGGGATTTCCCCGCAGAAGAAAATCTACTCACCCCCAAATGCCAGGGCCCAGGCCGGGCCCCCGTGCTGAGCCCGCAGCCAGTGCCCTGATCAGTCCCAAATGCTGACCCTTCCCTTTGTTTTTCTCCGGCCCGAGAGTCACACCCGGCCCCTCTCAGGGGCTAGTCCAGGCTTGGTGTCTGGGTCACTCCTGCTGGTGCCTGGTTGGAGCCCAGGGCTCCTGCCGAGCGGCCTGTACAGTGCTCCCAGGCCTGCTGAGGCTCCTTAAAGAGGAAGGCGTCTCCTAGGCTCTGAGCACATCCCGGTCAGATGCCCTGAACGCCGCCAAGTTATTTCGGGCTAATTGGAGTGTGGCTGCTCGGAGCCGACCTGCCTCCACTCTGGCTGCAGTGACTCAGGTTTAACGTTGTGGGAAGGGCCCCGTGGGGGAAAGATGCCCAGAAGACAACCCCCGAGGAGCCAAGACACTCAGCTCCCCAGCGTCAGATCAGAGGCTCCCAGTCCCTCAGCTCGTGCAAGAATTATCGAGGTGTCCCTGGCCCCCCTGAAAGTCCAGGTTCAGACAGAAAGGAAGTGGTGTGTGAGGACCTGGTGGAGATGCCTCAGTGCGGTGTCCTGATGACCTTAGGGTGCAGCAGGCGTGTGGAGGTCTGGGGGAGTCCCCCTGTGTGGGTTATAGTTATTTAGGTGGGCTGCACACACTCAGGGTGGGACTTACTCTTCTGGGGGGACCATTTGTGCTTTTGAGTATCGAACTTCTGAGTTTTCTGTGTGCAAGGCAAGAGACTCTTGAACCCTCCTGTTTTCTTTTTCTTTTTCTTTTTTTCTTGATTTCTTTGCTTTATTTTGGGGGGGGTCACACCTGGCGATGCACAGGGGTTACCCCTGGCTTTGCACTCAGGAATTACTACTGGCAGTGCTCAGGGAACCCTATGGGATGCTGGGAATCGAACCCGGGTCATCCGCGTGCAAGGCAAACGCCCTACCCTCTGTGCTACTGCTCCAACCCCTGTTTTTTCTTTTCTTTCTCTTCCTTTCTTTTATTTTCTTTCTTCCTTTCTTCCTTCCTTCCTTCCTTCCTTCCTTCCTTCCTTCCTTTCTCTCTTTCTTTCTTTCTTTCTTTCTTTCTTTCTTCTTTCCTTCCTTTTTTTGGGGGGGTCACACCCAACATTGCTCAGGGGTCACTCCTGGCTCTGCACTCAGGAATTACTCCTGGCGGTGCTCAGGGGACCATATGAGATGCTGGGAATCGAACCCGGGTCGGCCGCGTGCAAGGCAAACGCCCTACCCGCTGTGCTATCACTCCAGCCCTCCCCCTTCTTTCCTTCCTTCTTTCTTATTTTTAGTTTTTGTTTTTGAGCCATGCCTGGCAACGTCCAAGAGTTACCCCTGGCTCTCAGGAATTACTCCTGGTGGTGCTCCATGACTCTATGGGATGCCGAGGATCGAACCCGGGTCAGCTGCGTGCAAAGCAAGCTCCCAGTCTGCTGTATGATCACTCTAGACCCTGCTTTAGTTTCCTTGAGGCACAGTTGTCTTACAACCAGGACAAATATCGAAGAATTCGATCTGAGCTGTGCCACAGAGTTATGCAGCCTGACATTCATTACCGATCTTGTGTGACTATATTTTCTCTCCCCAATTCCTTTGTCCCCCCCCCCACATTTTTCTCTTTTCTAATGCTCGGGGCTCACTCCTCATGGGGCCCGGGGACTCTAGCGGGTGCTGGGACTCGAACCCAAGTCCACTGCATGCAAAGCCAGTGCCTGCCTTGCTGTACTATCTCTCCATCTCTTCGATTTCTATTTTTCTATACATCTCCCCAAAGGGCACAGGGGGCTCTTCCCAGCTGCGCTTGGGCTGGGGGAGGGGTCACTCCAGCTGTGGTGCAGGGGATAGAACCAGGGTTGGCCACCAACAAGACCACCAGTCACCCCTCTCAGCGCCCACCTGTGGGGTGGGGTTGCTCAGAGCCCTGACAGGTGCATTTGCCAGTGCCCGTGAGGACGCCATGCAGGGATGCATTTTCCTTCCGTGTTTGAGGGGGCTGGGGGGACGACCCTGTCCCTTCAGCTAGCCTCGTACCAGTTCCCTGGCATAGGGAGGGGTTGGAAGCAGCTGCCTCTCTTGCTTTCAACCCTGAGCCTCGCCCCTGGCAGTCCTTGAGACCCCCATACTCGGGGGCCCAGGATTCCTATGTGGGGAGCAGACCCATAAGCCCACTCGTGCCTCTGCCCACGTGGCCCGCGGGATCCAGTTGGCTGAGCCCTGAGGTTTGTAGGCCTGCCTCCTTCCCGGGGAGAAGCACCGAGGTGGGGCTCATGGCAGGGGGCGGAGACACTGCCACATTCCCAGGGTCACCCGGTCCTGAGGCTGAGCTGGGAGGGCCCCAGAAGTGCAGACATAGAGACTGGCCTAGGGCTGGGCCTCGGCCTGGGGAATAAATAGTTTGGGGAATGGACGTTTATTTCATTGCATTTGTATTTATTTATTTCATTGCATTTATTTATAAATAAATTAATTTATTTTTGCTTTTTGGGTCACACCAATGCTCAGGGGTTCCTCCTGGCTCTGCTCAGGGGACCCAAAAAATGTCCCTGGAGCATTTTTTGTTT